AGAGAAACATCAATGTGAGAGACATCAGTTTGTTGCCTCCGGCACGCACCTCGACCGGGGCCGGGGAACAAACCCGCAACCCAGGTGTGTTCCCTTGACAGGAATGCAGCCTGAGGTCCTTGGGCGCACAGGCCACTGACACTCGGCAACCGAGCCAGACCCCGGGGCGGGAGCACTGTCTGGCTGCACACTCTCACGTTACTTCTTTTTTTAACTCTCTTATTATGAATAATTTCAAACATATACGAAAGCAGAGAGAAAAGTATATTCCCCAGAGCATCAGATTTGAAATATTTTACTGTAAATTAATACAAGTAAGGTAGTCTGTGAGCTTATTTGCTTTTCATTTACTGTCTGTACTCCCCACACCCTTTTTTGGTAGTTCTTAAATTTCAAATATTTCTTAAATTTCAAAACCTCATACACTAATTTTTCATCATGATTTTTTTCTCTCTTTTTTTAACAGCTAACAGAGAAGCCGATGTTCTATTTGAAGTATTATTTGATGAAGAATTTCCTGGAGGCTTAACAATAAGGTTTATATTTCCAGATTATAATCATGAATTAAGAATATATCCATGTGGCCAGTGACTTTTCATTACTTGTTTGTCTATAGTTTGAGTTTCTATTATGTGCAAGACGCATGCTTCCTACTAGGGATGTAAAGTGAATCAGACCTGTTTTCTATCCTCGTGGAGCTTTCATTTTGGTGTGGGAGATAATTAACTGATTACAGTATTAATTAATTACAGGAGTTCAGGTTTCTGTAATAGTATGATCTGTCCTGATGGTTCCAGAAAGGTGGGACTTGAAGAATGAATACTAGTTAACAAGGGAAAGAGAGGAAAAGTGACAAGTAGTCAGGAAAAAGGACTGGCATATGCAACAGCGTATTTACCCATTCAGAAAACTAAAGGAATGGAAGTGTTCCTGAACTTGAGAAACTGTATAAGATTAAAGTGAGAGAAAAGCAAGGACCACACTGTGCAGGAACTTTTAAGCCAACTTTCAGGACATGTTAAGGATCTTGGTCTTCATCCTTAAAGCAGTGTGAAGCCATCAAAATCAGAGGTGTGGCATGATTAGTTTTGCATTTTAAATGTTTAAATAACTTGAGGAATAAAATGTTTTTTAATTTAGTAACATGTTAAGTCTTCGTCATCTGTTCTAATGTAATTGTGAGTGTTCAAGCTAGATTGGGGTGGTGTGAGGTATGAATGGCAGGTGTAGTAAGAGAGACAGGAGATTGAGCTGACTCTTGAGAAGTTTGACTGTGAAGGGGAGAAAAGATAGCCAGAGATTAGGGGGCTTAGAGGAAGAAAATTGGATTGGTTTTTTTTGTTTGTTTTAATTTAATTTTTTAATTTATTTTATTTTTATTATACTTTTATTTTCATTTTTATTAAATTTTGGGGGTAACGTTGATTAATAACACTGTGTAAGTTTCAGGTGTACACCTTTATAAGCCACACCTGTGTACTCCGTGGCGCACTCGCCCCCAAGGTCTGGTCCCCTTTTGTCACCATGTGTTTGACCCCGTCCCTGTGTGTCCTCCACCAGCCCCTGCCCGTCCAGTAGTGCATTCTTTTTGTCGGTATCTATGAGTGTGTTCTTTCTGTTCTTTTTTAAATGGAATTTATTAGGGTTACATGGGTTAATTATGTAGATTTCAAGTACAATTCTGTAATGCATTCTCTGAGGCTGTATTGTGTGTGTTCACCCAAAGCCTGGTCCCCTTCCATCGCCCTCTGTACCCCCTTTACCCTCTGCTCTTCTGCCTACGCCTACCCCCTTCCCTTTAGTGATCACCATGCTGATGTCTGTATCTATGCTGTTTGTTCTTTTGTTATTTTTTTTATGTCCACATATGAGAGAAATCATGTTTCTTGTGCTTTTCTATCAGACTTATTTCATTTAGCATGATACTCTCAAGATCTACCCGTGTTCTCACAAATGGCAGTATTTTTTCTTTTTATGGCTGAATAATATAGCCATTTTCTTTATGTACCACATCTTCTTTATCCAGTCATTGGTCAAAGGACACTTAGGTTGTTTCCATGCCGTGGCTATTTTGAATAATGCTGCAATGAACATAGTGGTACATATGTTGTGAATTGGTGTCTTCAAATTTTTCATGTATATAGCCAGCAGAGAGATTGGTGGGTCATATGGTAGCTCTACTTTTAATTTTGGGGGTAACCTGTGTGATGTCTTCCATAGTGGCTGCACAAATTTACAGTCCCATCAACAGTGTGCCAGGGTTCCCTTTTCTCCACAACTTCTCTAACACTCATGATGTCTTGTCTTGTTGGTAACAGCCACCCTAACAGGTGTGAGGTGGTATCTCATTGTGGTTTTGATTTTCATTTCCCTAATAACTGGTAATATTAAATATCTTTTCATGTGTCGCTTGGCCATCTGTCTTCCTTGGAAAAGTGACTATTCATGTCTATTAGCTCCTTATCAGAGGCTTTGTTTGCAGATATCTTCTCCCATTTGATGTGTTGCCTTTTTGTTTTGTTGATGGTTTCTTTTGCTGTATAGAAGCTTTTAGTTTGATATAATCTCATTCATTTATATTTTGCTTTTACTTTCCTTACCTTTAGGGTCAAGTTCATAAAAACCCCTCTGAGACCAAAATTTAGTACCTAAGTTTTCTTCTGTGTATTCTGTTTCAGGCCTTACAATCAAGTCTTTAATCTATTTTGAGTTAATTTTTGTGTATGGTGTCAGATAATCTAGTTTCATTTTTTTGCATGTGGCTTTCAAGTTTTCCCAGCACCATTTATTGAAGAAGCTTTCCTTTCTCCGTTGTATGTTTTTGGCTCCTTTATCTAAAATTAGTTGCCAATATATGTGCAGGTTTATTTCAGGCTCTCAGTTTTGTTCCATTGGTCTGTGTTTGTTTTTTCTGCCAATACCATACTTTTGATTATTGTAGCTTTATAGTATAGTTTGAAGTCAGGGAGTGTGTTACCTCTGGCTTTGATTTTTTCCCCCCAGGATTGCTTTGACTCTTTGGGGTCTTTTGTAGTTCCATGCAAATTAGAGAATTTTTATGTTCTATTTCTGTGAAAAATGCTATTGGGATTTTAATGATGATTGCGTTAAAGCTATATATTGCTTTAGGTTATATGACCATTTTAACAATGTTAATTCTTCCAATCCATGAACATGGAATCTTTTTCCAGTTCTTTGTATCTTCAGTTTTTTCAACAACATCTTGTAGTTTTCAATGCATAGCTTCTTCATTTCCATTGTTAAGTTTATTCCAAGGTGTTTTTTGTTTTAGTAGTCGTAGATGGGATTTTTTTTTTTAATTTCTTTTACTATTTCATTGTTGGTATATAGGAACAGAGCAGATTTTTGTATATTGGAACACAACAAATTTTTGTATATTGACTTTGTATCCTGCAACTTTACTGTATTTGTTTATTGTTTCTAATAGTCTTTTGGGAGAGTATAGGGTTTTTTATATGTAGAGTCATGTTCTGCAGATAGTGACAGTTTTACTTCTTCCTTCCCAATTTAGATCCTTTTATTTCTTTCTCTTTCCTGATTGCTCTGTCTAGGACTTCCAGCACTATGTTGAATAAGAGTGGTGAGAGTGGACACCCCTGTCTTGTTAGAGGAAAAGCTTGCAGTTTTTCATCACTGAGTATGATATTAGCTCTGGTTTATCATATATGGCCTTTATTTTGTTGAGATACTTGTTTTCTATACTCATTTTATTGAGAGTTTTAATTATAAGTGGATGTTGTATCTTGTCAAATGCTTTTTCTGCATCTATTGATATGATCATATGATTTTTATCTTTTGTTAATGTGCATCACAGTTTGATTTGCATATGTTGAGCTATCCTTGCATCCTTGGAATGAACCCCACTTGATCGTGATGTATTATGCTTTTAATGTATTACTACATTTGACTTCCTAATATTTTGTTTCGGATTTTTGCATCTACATTCATCAGAGGTATTGCCCTGTAAGTTTTCTTTTTTTCTGTTGTCTTTGCCTGGTCTTGGTATCAGGGTTGTGTTTGCCACATAAAATGAATTAGGAAGTATTCCCTCTTCTTCAATATTTTAGATAGTTTGAGAAGGACAGGTATTAAATCTTTGAATTTACTGGTGAAGCCATCTGGTACTGGACTTTCTTTTTTTGGGCATTTTTTTATGATTATTTCAGTTGCCTTACTAATGATTGATCTGTTTAGGTTTCCCAGTTCTTCATTGTTCAGTCTAGGAAGGTTATATGTGTCTAAGAATTTTTTCTTCTCGGTATTGAATTTGGTGTCATAGAGTTTTGTATTCTTGTATAACCTTTTGTATTTCTTTGATGTTCGTTACAACTTCTTTCATTTCTGATTTTATTTATTTGATTCTTCTATATAGAGCCATACTGAGAATGGCTCCACACTTGAATAGCTCTGGGATTTCCTGACCCACATTGTACAAACCATAGTCTTTTTAAGAAGTTTGACATTTAATTCATAAACTTTTAGTCATTGTCAGCTATTATGCTGTGGGCCCCTGAGGGCAAACTAACACATGCACATACCTACCTCTACACATACAACTACATCTGTAGAGCAGTCTTTCCCACTGAGCAACCCTGAATAGTCTATTTGGAAAATCTTCAGAAATGCATCATCTTATAAACTGAGATTTTTGTATGATTTCAAGTTTCTCTACTGAATTTAAAAGTAATATTTATTGATTCAGAAAATGGGCTGTCCACCTAAAAATTATTTGTTATTTCTTTCTAGCACAGTCAGTATTATTTCATTTTGATTTTGATGTAACTTTTTACTTTTAGGTGCTCACCTGGTAGGGGTTATCGACTGCCAACAAGTGCCTTGGTGAACCTTTCTCATGGGAGTCGCTCTGAGACTGGAAATCAGAAGTTGACCGCCATTGTGAAACCACAGCCAGCTGTGAATCACTGTAGCTCGAATCCACCGGTTTCAGCTGGGCGTTTGGGAGGCTTAAACCATTCCCCTCAGTCTCTCTTTGTTCCTACACAAGTAAAGACTCTTTCTGTAATTGCCCTTTACAAATCAGAGGCACACTGTAAATAGAAACCTAATTAGACTTATTGTTTTAAAAAGTTTTTTTTTTAAGTTATTTCCATTTTTGTTCTAAACTAATAGGCCAGTAGAGAATGCTATTAATTGCATTCTACCTGTGTTATAAAATTACAGTTATAGTAAAGAACAAAGACATTTATTTAAAAAATAATCTTGAAAATGTCTTTTTTCTCTTTATATATTTATTTTCAAACCAACATTAAAATTTTTTTCTTATATATCTACTATCTTATATATCTATCATATTTTACTATATCTACTATAAAATGACATAAATTTGAAAGGTAAAAGGGAGAGGACTATATCTTGTTTATCAAAAGCAATTTTCAAGTTCCCACCATGTAACTCATGGGTAATTTCCTTTATTTCATTTTCCTGGGGACAAAAATCAAATTGTTTTGTGTGAGACACTTACCTGTATTTCATTCCATGACCACAAATCTTACCACACTTTTTAATCCAAATAATACATGTTTATTGTACACTAATTAGAAAACACAGATAAGTAGATAATAACAAAGGAAACAGAAGCAAAAACCCTCTCAAATCGCATAGGTAACTACTGTTAAATTTTTGGTGCATATTTTTGCAGAGTTTTAATCTGCATGAAATCAGTTCTCCATAAGTAATAGCAGATTTATTAATCTAATCTAATCTATTAGATTGCGTTTGTGTAAGATGAACATTTTAAAAATCAAATCATTAAATGCTAGTTTAAATGAGATAATATAACAGTACATTGGAAGAACCTGTTGGTGGGGATATACGGATTTAGTATAATCTATAGCATCTGTTGCGCTTTAAACACTTAGAATAAAACCTTTCAAAACCAATTGCATATGAAGAACGGCATGTTCTCTCTAGTAGTATGCCGTCAGGGTGACTGTGTTGAGCTCCAGAAAAAGGGTTGAGATTTCAGATAATGTACATTAAATATCCTCTTGTGCTAAATAATTTTAATGAGTAAATTATTTGATTTTTAACATGAAGCTTTACTTTTTCATGTGTCAGTTCCTTAAGAAATTTTTTGTGCTTTGCCAGGTACCTACTAAAGACGATGATGAATTTTGCAACATTTGGCAGTCCTTACAGGGATCTGGAAAGGTTTCGCACTTTCATCCAACTCTACAAGAGAAGGTATGTATATCTTGTTTGATAGACATTTAACTTGAAAAAATTTAATTTTATATTCCTTTTTCAAGTATGCAATGATTAATTTTCTTCTGAAATCTCATGAATTTGCATACTTTTGTTCAGCTACATACAAAAAAGTTTTTGATCCATGAATGAGAATATAGACAATTTTTAAATTAGTTTTGGATTATTTTTTAGTTGTTTACAAAATCATAGTAACTATAGTTTAAATTGAACAAAGGCCTTAATGGTACTCAGTAACTTATTTGTTTCCACATGAATGTATAGCTTTATGCTGGCAGGTGATTGTCTTAAAGATGAATGAGCAGATTCATATTCCTGATAAAGATTAAGAAAAAGAAAGAAATCTTGCTGAAAGAGTAGACTCAGACCGAAAAAGAGGAAAAGGAATGAAATCCTATAACTTTGTTGCAAGTTACTGGCCTATCTTCTCAGTTTAGGTCAAGAAGGAATGTTCTCTCAAATTTATAAACCAGTAGCCTGCACCATGAGGGCCTCATTTATACAAATATCCTCCAGTGACAGTGGCCTTATCAGAGATAGAGAGGGGAAAATAGCAAAGGGAATGGACGTAAAATAAACATAGAAAGTGAGAGTGACACAATAGACAGGTCTCTTCTGTAAATATGCAATTATAAGTTTTCCTTCAATCATCCATAAATCGTGTCTACCTAAGTATAACCCGTATCCAGATTTTCAGACCCTGTCTGCTCTGTAATCTCTGAGGCTGCTGACCACTCATTCTTCAGGAGTGCTTGCTGTCGGTCACTTACCCATTCAACACATTTACCGAGTGCCTACCATCCAGACTTAGGGTAGTAGGAGCCTGTGAGAAGTGGTCAAATGCTAGACATTTTTTTTAATTGAATTTATTGGAGTGACATTGGTTAATAAAAGTATATTGGTTTGAGATACACAATTCTACAGTACGATGTAGGGATTGCCAACTGATGATGAATTAGGTTTGGGGTTAAAAGACAAACCTAATTACTTTTATTAACCAATGTCACTCCAGTTGAGTGGTAATTAAGGAAGAGAGGAAAGAGCCAAAGTCACAAGTCAAGCATATTGCCACTCTCTTCCTTAATTACCACTCAATATAATTTATGTTTGATTCCAACCTCTCAGTCAAGATCTAACCCAGTATCTCCAACTATCTAGGAGACAGATACAGATGGATGCCCACCGTCCCCCTCAGCCTCAGGATGTCTCAGAATTGACCACAGCTATGGCCTGTTCTCTTATCCTTATTCTAACACTACCATTTTCCCCAAGCATATAGTCTGGAAAGCATGGAATTTAAAATGTTTTACTCTTACTCTCCTAATACTTTTTTGCAATGAGACCGTCAATTGTTCACTGCTTCTCAGTTTCCACAGTGGACCTTGGTTGTCGTTCCAGGCCTAGCGTCACCTCCCCTCTACATTTCCTCTTTCTTGCCTCTTTCTTTTCTAGTTCTTACATAGCACAGCCTAATTAGTCTTTCCTAGAGACCCTTTCACCTGTCCTGTCCTGATTAATAAGAGCCCCTGGGTTTATGCCCTGAGGCATTGTAGTGTAGTAAATCTGGTAGCAGAAAATCAGGAAATTAGAGGTTTTATAACTCAAATTGAGCAAATCTAATTTCCCTGAGCTTCTTTGGCCTCATTTATAAAATTAAGTTGGTGGGCTTAAAGCACCTTGGAGGCCTTTTCCAGCCCTAAAATAGTATAATTCAAATACTTAGACCGTATAGGGCTCCCTGTTTAGTAGTACTGCTGGAATTCAGCCTCAACTCAAACTAATATTTAGTTCTTCTATAACCTAACCCTACCTGATTCTTACATAAAGCATGTCTTAAGTATTTGGTAAAATGGTCGTTCCAGTCAAACTGGTCTCTTTACTTTCCCTTTCTCACAAACAGATAATTCCTATCTCGGGTTATCTATACATCTTGTTCCTTCCACTTAGGATGCTAGTCCTCTCTCACTTCCAAAATTCCCCTCTCAGTCAGGGTACACTAGTCATGTTACTACCTATTTCTTTGAGGGACCTCAACACTTAGTATTATATTTTCTCAGAATATTCTGCATGCATCTTCTGTTACTGGCTGCTATTTCATTATTTATATCAGTTTAATGCTCTAGTGTTTTATCTCCTATGTGTTCCAAGAATTATGATCCACCACATACAACATTTATATCCAGGAGGCATTAAAAAGCAGCCTGATATTCATCCAATGAACAAATTCTAGAAAACTCAACACAATTAAAAAAAATCAAGCTTCTGGAAAAAGCAAAAATGTGGAGACAGTAAAAAGATCAGTGTTTGCCAAGGATTAGGGAGAGAGGTGGGGATGAATAAGTGGAGTACTTAAGATTTTTACGGTACTGAAAAATGCTCTATGTAATACCATTGTTGTTGATGATGTAAGAGAAATGTCCAAACCTGTAAAGAATTTTTATGAGTTTATTTGTCCAATGTTGACAATATGCCAGGAAGCAAGATCTCAGATGCTCCCCAGAATGTCAGTTTGCAGTTTCCTTTCTCATTTGGAATTAAGGAGGGAACATAAGGAAGATTACATAAACTTGGGAGAAAGCAAGACAGAAAAATAGCAATGATTGGGTTACAGAATAACAAGGTTATATGCTTTCTTGAGGGTGGCTACCCTTCTGAGGGGTCTGAAAAAGAGGCATTTTAAAGACGCGTTAACCTAGATGCACAGAAACAATAAACAGGGCTTGCTTAAGGCAAAGATAACCTTTTATTAGGGAAGCTATAGGCCTGAGGCATGCCTACCCACTATCACCTGCCCAGTTAGGAATTTATGATCAGATCACCCTGTGAGGTTACTTTCAGTTAGATTGATTACAGAGCCTCCTTTTGATCCACACTGTATGGTGGACACATGCCTTTGTACATTTGCCCTAACCCATGAAATATACAACACCAAGAGTGAGCCCAGCGCAAGCTATGGACTCGGGGTGATTATGGGTTCGAACGCCCCTCCCGTGAGGGACGTTGATAGTGGTAAGGCTACGCATGTGTGGGGGAAGGGAGCGATTTTGTTGTGAACCTAAAACTGCTCTTTAAAAAGTCTTCTTAAAAAAGTCAAGCCTTTATTGGAAAAATATGAAAACATGACTAACAAATAGCTACGTAGACAGAACAACTGAAAAGACTGTACTCAAACGGTGTTTTCTTCCAGCTGAGCTTACGGTCACTTTTCTCTGAAATGGCACTGTGAGCTTGGGCTTCAGAGTGAACTCAGCTGTCAGTCCTCCTGTTAGTACTGTAACCACATTACTTCACCACTTTAAGCCTCAGCTTACTCATCTATACAGTGGAATCAAAATCTACCATAGCATTTTTATAATCATAGCATTGTAATGATATTAAGATCATGGATGCAAAGTACATCTTACCATGCCTGGCACAGAATAGACACTAACACAGTACTTGTTCATACCAATCTGTTGATCCTGATGTTCTGATTCACTTCCTTAAAGTCAAAATCTCCTATAAGTACTTCTGTAACCCATAACCCCACCAGCCATTGTGCTATGCAAGTAGAAATCTCTTGACCCTTTCACTCTTAAAGACTAAAGAGCCCTGGGTATTCTGTGCATATGAGCTCACTGGACCTTCCTACACACGCTGGTGCCTGTCACAATGATTTTCGAGCATGCCTGCTGCCAATGAGGACATGATATGCCTTTGTACCCAGGGTTTATTATTTGTCTTTGCTTAGAAGAAAATAAATAGGGCCCACCAAAAGCAAAATTGTGACATGATGGCCCTGGTTGGTGTGGCTCAGTTGGTTGGAGTGTTGTCTCATGCACCAAAAGGTTTTGGGTTTGCTTCCCGGTCAGGGCATATACCTAGGTTGCAGGTTCATCCTGGTCTGGGTTCATATGGGAGGCAACCAATTGGAAGTTCGTTCTCTCTCTCTCTCTCTCTCTCTCTCTCTCTCTC